AGTCTAGTGGTAGCACGTTGTACACGCTCCAACTTGGTCAGTTCACCGGCCGTGTAGGGGTATGTCGCCGCACCACCATACTCAAGTCTTGGTCTGATATGGGAAGCGTACCATTGGAAAAGCATGTGTAGGTCGCACAGTGAAGTAAAGGAATATGGTATTATAGTAAGTGAGCTCTGCCTGTAATACATACGCTCACTAATAGGGACGTTTCATTTGTTTTCACTGATATAGTTGCTGTGTGAAGCGGATAACTTGAAAGAAGCAAGCACATCAACGGTGAACACAATGCGCATCTGATAGTGGATCACTTCATTTCATATCCGGTGTGTTTGCGGGAGTTCTGCAAACTTGTTGCAAATGAGATATTTTGTTATATGAATGACAATTTAACCATATCTCAAACGTTATTGGCAATAAATGAATATCCTCGACCAGCACCGCCTTTTGGAATTATAACAACTGGAGCCGTCGCCAGGATCAGGATGAAGGTTCCGTGGCCTGATGCCTTCGAGGATGGAGATGTGCGGACGTTCCTGGAGGAGTTCGAGGACGGCGCAGAGATGGTGGGAATAGGGTCGGACCGGGGTAAGTTGACGGCCCCCCGAGTGCGGGCGGTGTTGGATGCGGCGAGAAGAGGTCCAGAGGAGATGGAGCAGGCCACAGCGAAGGACGCCCTGATGGTGGGATTTGACACCGCGGCCGACCGCCAGCTGGCGTTGTGGAGCATAAGGACGGCGCAGCCCGGGGTTGGTGTAGATCCCTTGTCGCATACCTTGGCCCTGCGCCGCGTGTTGAATCGAGCCCTCCCAACGTTGGATGATGTCGCGCGTTCGGAATTACTGCTCGACAGTTTCATGGAGACCTTGCCGAAAGATCTGTGCGAGACAGCATGGAAATTAATATCGAGAAGACCATGGATGCTTTCAAACCGGCGAATGTATTGAGGGAATTCACCTGGACGAAAATGACACCTGTCCAGTCAACCGAAGGTCCTAGATGCCAGCCTATGAGAATTACGGCAACTATCAAGAAACTAACGTAGTTGGCAGCCATCCGAACCGATTCCAACCAGAGAGACCTCGAGAATGGTTATTTTGAGTTCGAAGATCCTGAGTGCTGGCAGGAAAATTACCCCGAAACACAACGTAAGTGGTTCCTGAGAGAACCCCTGTGTGCGTTCAAATCGGTTTCCCCAGGCCCACTTCGGAACAGCTGATAGTTGTTCAGTGCAGGCCCATATGGTGATGGGGAATCAGAAGGTGCCGTGTTTGTCTGACACATGTGTTGCAGTTTATACGGCAGAACTTCAGTCAACTGAGTCATTAGGAGCCTCGAACACGGCAGAGAAGACAGTTGGCGAAAACCAGCCGCAAGTTGACAGTGCTGCAAATTGAACTTTCTCTATTGGGAACATGACGAACAAGCAAAATTTCGCCAGATCGAACAATAAAACGATAAACAAGTTAAGAATGCCGGTGAAATGGAAACCAAGTGCACTTCCGAAAGTGCTGGAATCAGAGTACAAGCACCATGTCGGAGGCCGTATCGGTGACCCTGAAGCAGCGAAGCTACATCCTAGATGGCGAAGTTCACATAGAATCCGGATAAAGAAGATCCCAATGAAAATGTTTCAGGAGATAAGCGACGACAAAGGCGTGTATCGAAGTGAACACGATAGATGGTGCCGGGATCGAAGCCGTACACTAAAAGTAGTCAGAAATCAACCGACTGGTCGGGTCACCAAAAGTCAATCATGAAGACACAAGAAACTGTCAACCAAATGCGGACCCTTTCGAATTCTCAGAGGGAAAAACTCATTGCCCGCTGCATGCAGAGTTCCTTTTTCGCCGAGAGAGGAGTGTTGTGAGATACTACTCACTTGTGAGTAGTACGCAAAGTGATGTGATCAGCAGTTTCTTTCAACGACCGAAAATGAACAAGACCTGTTGAAGCAAACGGTTGCTGTTTGGTGAACACACGAATGCGCATCTTACAGTGGTTCACTCCATTACATATCCGGTGTGTTTACGGGAGTTCTGCAACCTTGTTCCAAATGAGATATTTTGTTATATGAATGACAATTTAACCATATCTTGAACGTTATTGGTAATGGAGGACTACCATCGATCAGCACTCTCCTGAGGAATTAAATACTATTACTACTACTAAAACTACTACAACAACAACAACTACTACTACCACCACCACTACAACGTCATCCAAGCTTGGAACCTATGGTTGCAATGTGATCGCAACGTGATCACGAAATACGAATCATGGGTTAGAAATCACGAACTAGCAGTCTCGGACACAACGTGAGCGCTGGATCACAATGATTTGCGATTATAACAACTGGAGCCGTCGGCAGGATCAGAATTAAAGTTTCATGACCAGCAGCGTTCGAGGATGGAGATGTTCCTGGAGGATTTTGAAGGTGTGGCGGAGCTGGCCGGAATACGGACGGACTGCAGCAAGTTGACGGCCCTCCCAGCGCTTCTCAAGGGCTGTGCACGGGCAGTGTTGGACGCGGCACGAAGAGACCCGGAGAAGATGTAGTGGATCGCCGCAAAGGACGCCCTAATCACGGGTTTTGACACCCCGGCCGACCACCGGCGCAGCTCGGAGTCGGTTGGGACCCTGTGGCCCTGTGTGGCCTAATGAATTGCGCACAATCGACAGTGGATGAGAATGCGCGCTCGAAACCACTTCTTCTTTCATAGAGAGCCTCCCGGAAGACATACGCGAAAAAGCGAGACTCATCAAGGTGGCGCGTACCATGGATGTACACGACACTCGCCGACTAACAGAGGAAGTGACAGCACTGAAATTAAATTTGCGACCGAAGAAAAATACAAATGTATGTGTCTATTGTGGCAGGCGAGGTCATTGGTGGCAAAATTGCCCCGATTTTCTTCAAATACAGGATTGATTCCGTGCACACGTTTTCTCTCAAATAAGGCAATCATTGGAGCCGTAGATCTCGTGGCAGTACAGGTCAAGTTGGAAATCGAGGGGCACAAAGAACTATTCTTGATCGATACAGGTGCGGCAGTGTCTTTGGCTAGACCCCAACCAAACGAGGCCCTGGAAACATGGAATACAGCTGTGTAAACAGTCGGGGGTTACCAGGTGAAGATAGACGGAGTAGCCAAACGGACAGTCCGTGTTGGAAACGATATAATCAAGCACCCATTTTTCATAACAAAAGACACGAGACAGGCCATAGTGGGGGCAGATATCTTGTGCAGCTTAAGGCCCGTGTCTGATCTGAACATCGAACAGCTTGTTACCAAATTCGGCACGATCCCGCTATTACGTTCAAAAAGGAAGAGGTTGTCGGCCGTAAGCACAGAGACAACTCACACTAACGTGTCACCGTCATTTTGACCAGTGGTGCAACGATACTCCCATCCATTCGCAGACGATGATGATCCGTACGGGTTCGGTAACTGGGTCGAACACGAAATTCCAATAAAGACAGGGCAATTTCGAGCCCATGTTTCACGCGGAATTCCACTACACTTAAAGGATGATCTCAAGCGCCAGGTCGAACAAATGTTAAAGGGAGTTACTGAAGAAACTCGAAGTCCGTTTACTTCGCCCGTGCTGCTGGTCAAAAAACGCCGACAGCAAATTTCGGTTCTGTGTGGATTTCTGCCAAGTAAACACTGTGACCATAAACAAATCAGTCCCAGTCTCAACTGTAGCAGAAATTTTTGGCCAACTGCAAGTTGCGAAAGTGTTCTCAGTTGTGGACCTACAATCGGGATATTGGCAAATATTAATAAAGAAAACCGACCGAGAGAAAACGGCGTTCACAGTCGTAAATAAACAAAATCAGTTCATACGAATGCCATTCGGATTATCAGGAGCACCATTCATATTCCGCCTCCTGATGCTGAAGTTAATCGATGGTGTCCCCAACGTGGTAGGATATGATGACGATCTTGTTGTCTACAGTCAAACAACAACCGAACACACAATCCACTCGGAAACTTTCCTGAAACGAATCTAAGAATCTGGCCTTCGGATTAATGAATCGAAGTCCCAAATTGGGGAGCTGACAGTGACTTTACTTGGGCACAAGGTTGGAAACGGAGAAGTGAGGCCATTTCCTGAGAGGATCCTCAAGTTAAGAGAGTTTGCACGCCCAACATTGAAAAGAACTTTAGGATGGTTTCTGGGCTGTGCCGCATACTATAGCCGGTTCGTCAAATACTTTACGAATATCGCTGAACCGTTACACGCTTTGCTCAAGAAAGAATATCGTTTCCGATGGACACCAGAGGCCCAGAAAGCTTTTGATGAATTCCAAAGGATCATGACCGAACAACACCTGAAACTGAAGTTACCGGTGGTTGGCGAGCGCTTCACAGTGGTAACGGATACCAGTGACGTTAGAATGGGAGCCGTACTCAAACAAGCAAGTGGAGTTGTTGAATACGCAAGCAGGGTCCTTACTCCAACGCAAAGGAAATATTCCACCACGGAAAAAGAATGTCTTGCAATCTTTTGGGCCGTAGATAAGTGGCGACCGTACCGTCTGGGTCAAAGGCTCCATATAGAAACGGACCACAAGCCACTGGAGTGGATTAAAACCGCCAAGGACCCGAGAGAAAAACTAGCTCGGTAGGCGCTTCGGCTGCAGGAGTACGACTTCACGATCAATCATGTTACAGGTGCCGAAAACTGTATGGCGGCTATTTTGTCTCGTCAGGAGGAAGCAGATTCTTTCAGTGTCAGTATGCTCGCAGCGGGACAAGACCCACACGAATTGGTGAATGAACAGTGCAAGGACCAAGAACTCCACAAGGTGATCGAAGCAATCTCACAAGGCCAGCAATACCAAAACGTTCAACATAGTACACACATGAAGTAATGGAAATCCGTATAGAATCAGCTTTATTCGAATACCGCTGGTATCTTAATGAAACGACAGCCAAGAAGAAGGTGCCCTGTGGTCGTCATTCCGAACCAGCTGCGTCAAATCCTCATTAAAGAAAGTCATGAAGTGGCCTACACTGGATGCGCTCGAACCTACGATCTGCTTTGACAGCGGGCATATTGGCCAACTATGCAGTCTGATGTGACAAACCAGGTGCTGGGGTGTGAAAAATGCCAACTTTTCAAGTCAGACTCCCGTCCATCACAATGTCCAATTCAGTCAATACCAGTATCCGAGATCGGTGAGTTGTGGTCCATCGACCTGACGGGTCTATTTCCGATATCTCCTAGAGGACACCAGTACATCGTTATAATGACAGAGCACTTCACGCGCTGGATTGAGCGGCCATGGATTGAGGAAGTGATGCAGTTTTCTTTGACTCACACTAATCAATACTACTCCATTTTGTATTTTGCCCGTCAACCACATTGATCAGTTTATGGATTTTTTTAATTTTTACTTCTTTTGTGATTTATTGAATATACAAATGTACAGTCAACATTCAGGAGGGGGGCAGAGGCCATTAAACGGCTACCTGGAAAATACATCATCTTTAATTAAGTGATGTATTGTTCTCACTATTTTAGTATGCGGGACCGACCCCAGTTCTGAATCCATTCATGGACGCCCTCAATACACCGGCAGGACACATTTCTCACAGTAGGTTCTCTGTGGAGGGGACTTCTAAACGACCTGTAAGACAGGGAAAATACAAAATGGAACCATGAATCAAAAGATCCAGTGAGACAGATGCACACGATTCATAAGCAAATCAAAATGTCTGCGTCCGTGTCTTCACTACAATATCATTCGTTAAATCATAAACCCGCGTCAGTTAAGTAAGTTAAGTCAGTTAAGTGTTCGTAGTTGGTATAGTGAAGCTAGAAAGAAGTCTTTTACACATCGAGCAAGTATCGTTCCAGACAAAAAGTTAATTTTTAGTTTGCGTAGACTCTCCCACGGATTTCGGCCTATACGCATAAAAAGAAATGCTTTTATTGCGTAGTACGTACTCTTCTTGGACAGACAATGTAATCGGATATATGTGTGTAGGCCTAAGTTAATATAATACAGTCAATCTCATGCTATGTCGCACCCCTGAGAAGTTGTATTTTCCAATATCTTCTCACTTTTTCGAAAACCATGCAGTGTCCTCCCCCCCCCCCNACACCTACTCACTTGGTCATTAACCGGTGTTCGGGACGGCCATTGACCAGCCAACCTGAAACGTGGCACTCAGCCAATGGTGTTTCAACTAGTTTGACGCCAATATGACACTGTTCACCGATTGGATAATCTTCGCAAGGAAGACACACACCCATGCCTGCAATTGAAGTCAGCGTCACTGGACTTCAAATAGTGTGCAAGCGTCCATCGATCAGAATGTGTTGGAAATGCTGAATCAGTCAGGTACAACTCAGAGCTCCATAGGCGAAACAATTAATATTTCGAGAAAAACTGTTTTCAATGTTAGATCCCATCGAACCCCTCCCCTACCATGGCTGAGAGCAGCAGTTGCAAAAAGACAATCTATCGACGCTGGCCATAACCAATGTATCTATCGGTTTGAACATACACTGGCAAAAACAAAAGTGAATGAACGAATAGATGTCTGCAGAGTTAATGCTACACATTTTTTCACCAGAAAATCATAAATAGATTGCGTAGTAAGTATACCGCGTAACAGATGTGTCACTTATTTTAGATTATTTCATTTCCATCGAATGCGCCTTTTGTCCGTTGTTCGACCTGGTTCATTCTTGATTTCATCGGATGAGTTGATGTTGTCATTAGTATAGCTAAAACAATTCTTTATTCTGGTGGACGCCAAATACTCAATTCTGCGGCGAGTCTAACATTGAAAAGAAATGGAGGAATATCTGGAATTAATATGCAATAATTGCAGTTAGAAAAAAATCCTCTGAAGAAATGTAAATAGTTTCATGACAGCTAGACACTTGAAACTGAAACAGGGTTGGGTATCGGATCCAGTGTACAAATATTAAGCTGAGGACATCATAAAAGATTTCAATTTCTTCGATACACAGGATGGTCTATATAAATTCCGTTAAGAACAAACAGTAAATAAGTATAAACATTGTGAACAAGAAACGGAATTAGCGTACTTTTCATCGATCAGCTTTGTTTTATCACAAAACTCACAACCTATTTTTCATACTACTTAATAGTATTTACTTCTGATTAACATGTTATATAGCAGTTCCAGGGATTTACCCGCCCTTTCGGATTCCCGAGTGATGCGATATATCAGGAGGCTGACTGCAATCAGTTTCCAGTGGGAGTGATGGGCTGTTTTCTTTAAAACTGCAATCTAGGGTAAAAAAGTGTGATTGGCGAAATTAAGAACTTACTTAACAATAAAAGCACCACAGGCAATTTATTTAAATCACTACAAATGTAAAATGTATTGTATAAACTTATTTG